TAAAATAACAAAAAATAATAAAAGAACATAGCTTTTTCTGTTGATGCTGGCTTTAGCTCCCCCTCATGCGAAAGCCCAATTTATAGGTGCTCCTGTAGAGAAGCTACAGCACAGCTCTAGCCACACCCTCATTCCTCTCTGTGTTGTGTGTATCCATTTTCTAAACACCTGCACTGATACAGCTTAGTGTCAAATCTACTAGAACACCTGCAATAACAAAAGTGGGATCATCAGTGCAGAGAGTAGTTTCTGTGCAGATCAGTGTCTGCTCCCCCAACTAAGTGCCTTGCTCCCCTCCACTGTATGCCCAAGTATACAGGAAAGTTAGGCATGTGATCTACCTCCTCCCCCTATGTTTAATCTCCTTCCTTTTAAATTTAATATATGTTCTCTCGCACCCCCTCCCTCCTCTGCCACTTTGTGTCTCTTCAGCAGGCTTCACACTTGCAAGTACAGAGAGTGCACCCCCCTCACTCCTCTCTCACTCTGTGTCTCCCCTGATAGGCTTCACATTTAAAGTGCAGATAGCTCAGTCCCTTCCCTCTTCTCCTACTCAGTGTCCATCCTAGTCCTTCCCCCAGCCACATTACACTTTGAACTGCAGAAAAACAAGTTCAATTGTTTTTCTGGCATCCAAATGCTGTAATGGGTTATGGAGAGAGAATTAAGGGGCTGGTATGAGTGAGGTCGGATGTGGAACAGCTGCTGCTGGGAGACCAGTGGGAGGAATTTCCAGTAAGCCAAACATACAGAGCAGACGCATGTTGACAGGCTCCCATCCCCCTGCTGTCCTGAATGACATTGCTGGTCCCCAGTATGCACCTGCTGCCAGAGACCAGTGCTGTCAATCAGACCTCACTATATACTCATCTCCTTCTGAACAGTGTGGTTGCAAAGCAATGGGTAAGGGGCACCCTGTCAACCATGCTAACTTAGAATCTGCAGCATTTATAAAAGTGTTGATCATATTCTCTAGCACAGGGCTCAAAATTTCCACTCACCCCCTCGCAAATTGCGAGTGAAAATTGCATGGGGGCGAGTGGAAATGAAGCCATTGAGTCAGGCACTCCTCGGGGCGGCTTCTCTCCTCCTCACCGACATGATGACAGCGCTCCCTCGTCCGTCCGTCCGGGGTCGCAGGAGGGAGCCCTGCCTGCTGTCAGGATTGCCGAGCGGGAGAGAACCCGCGAGGAGAGAAGTCGCCCCGAGGGGGAGAGAAGCCGCGCTCACAGCTGTCAGGATGGCCGAGCGGCGAGGAGATCGGAGCCGCTGTCATCCTGTCAGTTTCAGGAACATATTCCCAGGGGGGCAGAAGGGACAAAAAAATGTTTCTTGTGAGACTTCTTTATGTCTGGGCAATTCTTGATGGAACAATATATAATTCAAAGTCTTTAGTGAAATCTCCCTAAAGAACAGCAAATCCAGAAATGTAGCCTATTGGAGCTACCTAAAAATAATTCATAAAATAATATCACAATTTTTCTTTAAAAGTTAAGCTTTGCCATCATCCCGCCCTTTTGGTCAGTGAGATTGCAGATCACATTAGAGGTCCAACAGAAATGCATGACCAAAATCAACTTTTAAAAGGAAAAGATGACATTTGCTGTTGGATTTGCTGTTTTAAAAGGTGTTGTTAATGATGATAACTGACTGTAGAGCACCAGATCTCAGATTGGTTAATCTAATAAGACATTGAAAAGTTCAGTAACCAATAGTAAACAGTCATCCTTTAACTGAGTGCAGTTATTATTGGTTTGCTATGTGTACTTTATTTGACTATTGTCATTGAAATTTGAAAGTGGCATGTCCCTACTCATTCAGCTGTGTGCCCTTTTTCTAATTTTTTATTTACATCATAGCTGCTTTCTGTGCGCTAGAAGACCCCAAAAGTCTGGTGTTGTAATAAAAGCTTGTGGCTGCAAGTAAATAAAAATGCAACCATCATATGTAATATGTGCCTGACTTAAAACAAATACATATTTTTCATGTTTTTTTGTGAGGTTAATTCAGGTTACAGTTATACAGAAGATGGCATGAGCACAACATTTTGGGGTTGGGGGTACAACAACGGTTATAGCTAAATCTAGGTAGTACATTTATGCTTGGCGAACCAATAATTTTAAACTATGTGTACAAAGAAAAACATGAGTAGAAAAAAAGGTGGTGGGGGATCAAAGTGGGTGGCTCAAGAATTGTTGGTTAGAGGTATTGTAGGCTAAGTAAATAAAGTAGAAGGTGGGGTTGATTAATAGTTGGGATGGTCCAGGAAAGGTAAGGAAGAGAAATAACCGGAGAGTGGGGAGAAGGAGAGGGAAAAGGGGAAGAAAAATAAAAAGACAACAAAAAGGGGATAAAGGGGGGTGGGACACGAGTGATTAGCAGTTGAGAGGTTGACAGTCAGACATTTAAGAGGGAGTGGTCAAAGGTTCTGGGCAGGTAATTACCTTTTTTTAATTTTAGGTCTAAAATCATTACAGCGATTAAAATAAATAGTATGTTTTCTGTTTGCTGCATCCAAGGATCATTTGTTTTGTCTAATCACAGTAATTGTAATAAAACTTCAATTTTGTGATAAGCAAATATTTTTGGTTTCTATGTCGAGTTAATTTTTTGTTACTGTAATAGAACTAAACAACATACTGTTCTAAAATTACATTTATTTTGGTTTCCTCTGTTGCCTAATTTAGCTGAAACAGTTATCTTGAAAATATAGGTTAATTACAGAGCAAACAACAGTTTAGATCAGGAAGAGCCGTACTGTATGTGATGCATGATTACTTTTCAATTAAATGCACCATTTACTCTGCACACTTGGTGTCCTTATTTCAATTTTGTGTAAAGATTAAGTAATGGCCACTGAATAAACCGAAAAAAAGAGATGTCATGAGTTAATGAGATTTCCATCATGTCAGAAATTTAGATGAAACTTTTTAAACAAACTTAGATGTCTTCAGTGTCTTATAAACTGCTTACCATTGGTGTTATGTCATGAGTTTAACAAGCTGGATTTACATAGTTACATAGTATATGAGGTTGAATAAAGACATTAGTCCATCAAGTCCAACCTATTAAAGAAGTTTCTCAGCAAGCTTTTGTCATTCCAATTTAAAATAAGCAATGCTATTTGGTAAGCATCAAATAAATCAAACGTAAAAGGAAATTTGCAATGAGAAAAATAAAAGAACGGGAGAATATCATTGTTGGTTTCCATATGAATTTGCTAGCTACCTCGTTGCCTTTGAATTTAGTACTCTCTGGGGGTTATTTATGAAAAAAGTAGAGACTATTCACTGTGCAAAGCCAATATTCACTTAGCTTTATAAATAATGGGAAGCTGCATTTGCTTTGAATACCCAGCCATGTGCAAGTATGGAAAGGAAAAAATGGATTGCAAGTAATTGGATGACTGAAGTGGAAACAACTTCACCTTATTTACTAAGCTAGGTAAACCTTCATGTGCTGCTATGGGCAGAGTAGTTAGCTGGAAATGTAACAATAAAAAAATATTCCCTGTACAGCTGCCATCTTGTCCCTCTTCCCTAGCAACTAATATCCCCAGCACTGTAGTAGTGTCCTGAGTATGTGACAGCTCTCCCGCTACCTGTCCTTAAATTAGGCATGCATCATACTGAGAACAGTGACATGTATTGCTAGAGTTGACCCTGCCGGGTGCTTCAGAGAGAGGTTATTGAAGGTCCAATTAAGATATTGCTATGGGGCCCAATCAGGGATATTAAAATCTGCATGTTTTCAGCTGCATACATTCTATTCCCCTTACTTGATGGTTACTAACTGTATTTTTGTTTACCATGTTTTTGGCAGGATTGTGACATCATTATGACATCAGGGGGTGTTCTGATAGGTGTTTTTTTTTTTGCATCTGTTTGTCTATATATAGCTTAGTGTCAGTTGTGCACATTGCCAATGCTAAGCCTGATAAAGGTGCTCTGTGTGGCCCTGAAAGCACTTGTTTTGTGACTCCTGTTAACACTGTCATTGTAGTGATAATTTTTTGACTAATGATTATGGCAAACTTACTTTCGTGGAATATGGGTGTGCACGTGAATGTGTCCAAGGCAAACAGATCTTTTGAAAACTTTTTGCAGTTTGTTTGCTAACATGTATGGCTGGCATTTTACATGTATGGGCACATTATAAAACATACCACAACAAAAATAAAATGAAATATTTTCAAAACTGTAAATGAAATCCATCATAAGAGAAACATGAAGGCTTCTATTTTTTACATCTCCTAATTACGTGTTGTCTGGTTGTCACGGTGACTTTCTTGCTTCAGTGCTATTAGCCACTCAGTCACTTTTCACCTTCTGAAAATGCTTGTTGAATGCAGTCATGCTGACTCTCTTGCTCCATAACATGTGCCCACTCAGCCACTTATTTTCAACATTCTTGACCTACATACTTCTTTCAGGTTAGTGATTCACAAAGTGAAGCCAGATAATCAGCAAATCAACAGCTAACCAGCATATTCAAAACAAGCTAAGCAATGACAGCCCCCATGGTTTACTTTAAAGTTTATCTAAACCAAAGTACACACATTTGGGATATTATAGCTTAGCAGTCCGTAGATGTGCCGGCTGCATGATATTTTTTTTAGGCTTTTTAACCTTTAATTTCACCTGGTGACCTTGCCAGTAACACACTTCCTGTTCTAGGGTGCACTGTATCTATGCAGAAACACTATCACCATAGGGCAGGTCTACAGAACATCTCTGTTCTTCTCCATAATAGATGTGAGGTGTTCTGTAGTCTACAGAGCTAGCTGGGAAGAATGTAACGGATATGAGTGTAGCACAGGCAGAGTGCACAGGAATCTCACAAGACTTCTGGCAGGATCAACAGGTATTTTATGCACTTATTGAACAGATATAACGAAATACAGACTAAGAGAGCTAATAATTGAAATTAATTGCTAGGGTTTCCATGCCCTTTAACGTTAAAATGTATTTGTTTTTATTGAAATATTTATCTTATTTCAGATGTAATACAGGGAACAGTCAGCAACGCGTGTGGAATACAGGCAACCAGAGCTGTAACAGGCGAAAATATATACTCAAAGAAGCACACAACGAATTAACTTTCCGGCATCAGCAAGATTTGCCTCTGCCCCAGTTAAGGAGAGAGACTCCAAAATTGCTCACCACCACTAATGGGAAAGCGGAATCCCTTAACATACCTAGAAATTCGGTGGTACAAGAACTGTCAGAACTGGAAAAACAAATAGAGGTTATAAAGCAAGAACTGCAGATAGCTATGAGCAGAAAAAATGAACTGGAAGAGTACCAGATGAAAAACAGGACTGCTAAGTCTTAAAAGCAGCTTCCCAGTCTTAACATTAAGAAACTTTATGACCGACACAAGTCATGTCAAAGACAGACTCTTTTTGGTCACTACACAGGAAAACTACATGAATCATTTCTCTACTTCTGATGAGATTTGTTTGTCTTTTTTGTAAGATATAACATGTATTTCTCTAGTGCGTGAACTGTCATCCAGTATTAAAATGTGACCTTGGACTCTTTTCAGCTGAGAACCACTTCTGCTCTTCTGTCCCCTCTATGTTATTAAATGAAGGTTTTCACTTCTAAGCCCCTTAGTGTGCATTAATAAAACTAAAATGGTTTTGAATTATCTCCACTGAGTCCTTTGCTAGTATTTTTAACTTTTATGAAGGAAATCTGCATTTAATGTGTGTCTGTGAAATTGAAATTTCAGCAGTTTGAGGCTAGTGGAGAACGAGGGTGAAAAATTAATTACTCGTCTGTTCTGTAATGGACTTCTAAAGGAAGTGCAGCAACCTTTTTGATGATACTAAACTGATTACATTTTTGAAGAGGTCAGTGAAAGACAATAATAAAGGTTTTATGTTTATTGGACTTTGGGAGTATATCAGAAGAGTTCCCAAGTAGAAACTTAATGATTGATGTTTGCACTTTGGCATATGTGTTGAGCAAATAAAGTTTATAGTAAAACTGTATAAAAACCGGAAGAGTGTGAAGAAAAAAAATACATTCAAATCTGGTTGCTAATTTATATCTTGACACTTATTCCAGCTTGACAAATGTGCACCCAATGGCACTGAGTTGCAGAATGTTAAAAAGTTTGTTGTACCTTTCACAAGTTAAATGTGTATTGATTTTGATATGTACAGTTAGTCCAAGCACACAGGGCTGAATTATAATGAAGAGCCAGTATAAAAACCAGTGAAATACATCAGAACTGCTGCAATGTAACTCAGTATATTTATCAAGCACATAAGCTAAAGGGAATCTGTCATGAAGAAAAACACCTGTGAGATTAGGCTCTGATGGAAGTAGCCACTTCCTCTCTCATGAGTCATATATTAGTTCTAGAACACTGAAACTAAACCTTTTCACTAAGTCACTGTCCTGGAAATATTATCATATACTTAGTCCAGCATTGGATGCTTCCATTTACACCCAATCACATTGAAACTTTGCTTTGTGACAGAGTTATTAAAGGTTCAGTTTAGCAGAACTGATATGTTTGTTGTGGGTGGGGTTTATAACCTCATAGCTTCTTATATCTCTTTGGGTATTCATTGTATATATCCCCCACTGTTGTTTCTGACCTGGCTTTCTGCCATACAGTCTAATGTTTCTTTTTGCATTCTCAATGTGATCACAAAAAAGAGATTAGGATTTACATACATTGCTATCACTCTTTCAATATTTTAAGTGGATGGATGAAGCTGAGAAATTTGGAGAATGGAGCCTTTAGCCTGACAATTTATGTAGTAAGACTGAGCTTTTAAAGTAATCCTACCTACTCACTTAATAGTGACCTAAATGTGGCATAAGGCAAAGCTGCAAGTGGTAGTTTGTACATCATGCAACACTGATATCATTAGTTTTCTGGGACTTGTAGATTCACTCTTTAGTATAACAAATACACTTTAACATGACATTGTGAAACCTGTACACAAATAAGTAATGTAAAATAACCCACAAAATTCACTTGTATGTGGTGTTTAAAGTACCTCATGTGATTCCTGATGCTGCTCCACCTAACAGTAGTTGTCTATAGAAGTTAGTAGTATACGAACAGACCGCACTATCCAGAGATTTCCAATACTGCAGACTTTATTAAATTCACAGCAAATCCACTATTATAGTGAATAAAAGTGTGTAAAGCAACAAATGCCAGCACCGCAAACCCCCAACTAACTACAACCTCTCACATGTTTCACCCGTAGGCTTATTCATGGAGTGAATATATGTTGAATATATGTGTATAGAAGTTGCTGCACTCTTTATTGCTCCCTTTAGCTCTGTAGCAGTACCTAGATAGTAGCTGTGAAAACACTGTGTAAGGACAAGATCTGCATTCCAAAAAATTGTGTTAGGTGTGACATCCTGTGTGTTAGGGTACGTTAACTGCCTATTCAATTTTTATTATTATTATTATTATACAGGATTTATATAGTTCCAACAGTTTGCACAGAGCTTTACAATACAAAGAAGACATTACAGTCACCATACAACTCAAGACAAGATGGTTGGGAGGGCCCTGCTCATGGGAGCTTACACTTCAAAATGAATAGTCTACCTTAGCAAGACACATGTTAACGCACACAGGGATAACCCCAGCCTAAAAATTCACTTCACCTTCAAAAGTGTGGCTCTGTTACAACATTTAATTGACCGCAGTCAGGACACATAAAATAAATAGTTCCGGCCAATGGGAAAAAGAGGGATGAAACCACTAAAAGTGAAATTAAGTAAAGCTAAATATTTCACAGTGTTTTCTTTAAGATGCCCGGAGAGAGCCCTGACAGTAGAGAATGTAAAGAACTTACAACAGCCTCTAGGCATAGGTACTGTTAGATGGAATAGCAAGAGGAGTGGCATGGGTCACTTGAAACTTACAGTTACTAAGGCATGAATCCAGCAAAGCCAGACCTGTTATGCATTTTGGAGATTGGATTATCTGGTATGTATTGCTGGACAATAGAAGGGTGCTATGCACACTTTGCCAGTTCATTCAATTTTTTGCAGAAAGCACAGCTGGTTTCTCTGCCCATGCTCAGTGACTGTGGTTGAATGGGCAACAGCTTCAAAGGAGTGCCACATCATCAGGTCATATATTATATGCCTTTTTGGCATATGAGCAATGCCATGATCCATTGCAAACATTTGACTGCCACAGATGAGTCTAATATTTATTACTGCTTCACAATATCAAATGCCTTACTTTTTCACATGAAACTGAAAGTTTAGATAATGATTGTTGGGAAATAACGCCTATTAGTGGTTTTGGAAAAAAATAAATAATATACAATTATATAACAATATTTTTCTGCTAAGGAATTATTATGTAAATACCTTGAAATGCAGGATTAAATACTGCAGTGTGTACACATTTCTTGTAAACAGGACATGGCAGAAGTCAATAAACTCTCCAAGCTGCATTTAGGAGACTGGTTTGCAAGTATCGCGATTCAATAATGACTTCTTAAGTAATTAATTAATCTTGAGTTTAATTAGTAAATACACCTCCTATGGGGGACGTATTGGCTAAGAGCTAATGGACAGTTCAAAACAGAACTACAGGTAGCTTTAATAGGCCACCATTTAATCTAGGTATGTATTCATAAAAAAACTTAAATACATTTGTATATAGTACCCGTTCTGTTTTTATATTAACCTCCTAATGTCTCCTGCACAGTAGGCTGGAGAGAATGGATCAGCATAAAGGCCCATTAGCAATGTCAATATAACACAGGGAAGTTCCTGACAGGAGATCAAAGACCGGCTTATGCTGTCTGGCAAGGATCAGTTGATAAATGAAGATGATTACACATTTTTGGCAGGAAAGACAGTTCACATTTTTTTGTTACTGGTTTTAGCTGTAAGCTAATAGTTCTGTTTTACCTCACCATATATATTACAATTGTACATTTTTGTACAATCACCTTAAGATTCATCAAAACTATGTAATTTGAGGCCTTCACACCACATAGTTGTTGGTAGATCTAAGTGTGGTGAGGTTAAAAATGTTTAGAACATATTGCATAGAAAAACCCACTAACTGCAACAAAAGAAAGACCTCACCTTTTCCAATAGGTTTAGGCAACAGTAATATTTAAACATTTCATAGAAAGCTAACCCTGCAAAAGAAGAGATCAGCAGGAGGAAATAGCGACAGGTTTGATTTAAATAACAGTAATATCTGATCTGCCTTTAATGAAACCTCAGCCCAATTTTTTAAAATAATATTGATAGGGGCTAGAACCACTGATAGACTACTTTGGAAAGTTTTTCTCTCACTTTCTCTCCTGGTCACTAATGCCACCTGGACACAAAGCAAGGTGAAAACACTCTTTTAAGGACACAACGGACATTAAAACCTAGTGGATGTTTTAGCCCTTTTTAACTCTATCCAATATTAACAAATACATTTTGGATGGAATTCTACTTTACCGGATTTAGTGTTCTTTCCTTACTGAACAAGCCCAAATGCATTGGTTCAATTGAAGTAGTGACATATGCTTTCTAAAAGCAATCTACTAATTTTATGTCAGTTCATACAACAGTAAACAAGAATATGAAATCTTACTATTATGATTATTATTCAGGTTGTATATAGCACCAACAGTTTGCACGGCACTTTACAACATGGAGAGACACTACAGTTACAATACAATTTCAGCACAATATGGAAAACTTTTCCAGTTGCAGCCCCAAATGACCAAGGCAGATCAATAAAAGATTACTTTTAATTGCTAATTGGAATGACTGGCAATCCATATGATTGAAATTAAATATTTTAACAAATATAATGGAAATTGCAATAAACTATGGACACATAAACCTTACTTTAGAATGCAAGAATGTTTGTAATTAGGCATGTTAATAATGGGGATTATTCTTTGTAAAAATACTAAAGCTATGACATACTTTGAGGGGAATTTATCAAAACTGGAGCAAACAGAATCTGGAGCAGTTGTCCATAGTAACCAATCAGCTTCTCTCTTCAGTTTGTTCAGTTAAGATTTAAAATAAAAGAGAGAAGCTGATTAGTTGCCATGGGTAGCTGCTCCAGATTCTATCTGCTCCATGCCATGCATTTACTATGTGGGGTTACATAACATAAAATGTCAAAGGCAAAAAAAATGACAAGGGATGTAAACACCTAAGCGTTTTGCATATGACTCTTTATACTAATGTCACTTGCTTCTAGTAACAGAATGTACCTAAAGAAGAAATTACAGAGATGCTGAAGTATTTCAGGCACAAAGATAAAGCACAAAAAGAACATGGGAGTCTTTAAGCAGCTTTGGCTATATATGTGCATGGTTGGTCACTATTTACCTTAAATAGCACTGACAGTGCATATTTATAAAGCAGTGAATATGACATTCACCAAATATTCACTGCAGGTAATTTAATCTCTGTCATTTAAAACATATGCATCTGAAAGATTCACCTGCAGTGAATGTTTAGCAAATTTCTCATTCACTAATTTATAAATATATATGTCATATATATGCCATGAGTGTTATAAAATAGACACACATTAGATATTTATATTTTTATAGACAGAGATTTTGCCTTTAAAGGTAACTTTGTTTCCATATACTCATAAGCTGTCCATGGTACTCCTTTTTGCAATCACCATTATCTTTCCCATCCTCCTTTCTTTTAAAAAAAAAGTCTATGAAGAAGGCAAAGTGTTCCCTATCTACACCTAGGAACAAACCTAGGAGCAACAAAATGCTAAAGACGAGGAATCTCATTGATTTTCCTGGCCCACTATTCACACGAGTGTTTTGTCCAGGTGTTTTCTTGTCACTTCGCCCAAGCGTGAACAGGGGCCATAGAAATTTCTTGTCACGCTTATCCTAGAGCAACAAAATGCCTAGGTATGAACAGGAGCTATGATAGACAGTTGGAGATTCCTCAGATATTTCCCTACACTCAAATGC